TTTACTTATTTGAATTGAAGGTCCTTCATCTGTAAAAGGAAAATAAAGTATTAGTTCATAATGTGGTTATATATAATAATGTGTTAAAATCTTGCATATGCTTAAATGATTTTTGAATTCTTAGATCTCTGTTCTGACTACCTTAAGTGTTCTATGTAAGTGGCTTATAGAAGGCATTTCATATTTGCTGGAAGTTTCATTGTATTCAGGTTTAGCATAAGATAGAACCTTCCTCTTTAGGCATTATGATGCATGCATTTTGATTTTGAAAAGATGCATTGCGTGTATGGAAAGGAATGATCTTGACTTGAGTGGGTAATTCTTAGCACTACCTAGTAGAATATTAAAGTCGGAAAGGAAGTATCATGACCAGTAAGAGGAAGAGGCAGAGGGCAGAAAGTATACTTGGGGAATGAGTACAGCTCCAGAGATTCAGTTGGTTCTTACAGTCCTGCACAATGAAATACGCAGCTCAGAGTAACATATCTGACTACGGTTATCCAAGAGAAAACAAGACAAGTAATGAATCATTTTTTCTAATTGTCTTATTAGATATTACATTTACACTTGCCCTAAGTATTAACAAATGATTTTTAGATACCACATAATATGTCAGTGGTCTCATCTGTGCATTTGTTAAATGCATATTGTCACTGGCAGATATTGAGTATCACTGTTCTGAGAATGTGGTAAGCATTGACCCATTTAATCATCATAATCTCATTTAATCCCAGGAGGTGGATACTATAGATGAGGAAAATGAGAAGCCAGAATTTTAGGAACATGCCTTAGGTCGCACAAGTGGAACAAAACAGAAGTATTGAACACACAAACCACAGTCTTAATTATTAAATTCCCAAGAGGACTCTGCAATGCACAAACCCCTAAACCACAGATCTTCCAGGTCTCACATGTGTGTGCTTAGATGCCTTTCTACAAAGCAGATTCCAACTCAGTAGGTATGGGTGGAGCCTGGGCAACATTTCTAAAAAGCTATTAGGTGGTTCCCATAATTCTGGTCAGTGGACCACAATTTCAATACCAAAGTGCCAGACCACTGTATTTGCACATTCCTTATAACTGGAAGCCAAAATTGAATTTCTAGGACCAGCTGGTTCATGTTTAGCTCAGTTGGTATCAACTATCTAGATATCTCAATCCAACAAAACTACAATGAGATATCCTGAGCCTTGTTCATTTAGACCCAATGTTCAGAAATTGAGATGATTTGTGTACAATAGTTAATAGTGATTTATAGTCTGTAATGAAATTCTTCTTAAATATTAGGTTATTTGGTCTTCACAACAGGTGTGTTCAAAATTGGGGAAGGAATATGTCAAGGCTGTATATTGTCACTCTGCTTATTTAACTTATATGCAGAGTGCATCATGCAAAATGCTGGGCTGGATGAATCACAAGTTGGTATCAAGACTGCAGGGAGAAATATCAATAATCTCAGATATGCAGATGATACCACCCTAACAGAAAGTGAAGAAGGTAGAAACATTTCATCAAGAAGTGAAAGAGGAGAATGAAAAAGCTGGCTTGAAACTCAACATTCAAAAAACAAAGATCATGGCATCCAGTCCCATCAGTTCATGGCAAATAGATGGGGAAACAATGTAAACAGTGACTGACTTTATTTTCTTGGGCTCCAAAATCACTGTGGATAGTGACTGCAGCCATGAAATTAAAAGACGCTTGCTCTTTGGAAAAAGAAGCTATGACAAACCTAGACAGCATATTGAAAAGCAGAGATATCACTTTGCCAAAAAAGGTCCATATAGTCAAAGCTATGGTTTTTCCAGTAGTCATGTGTGGATGTGATATCACTTTGCCAAATAAAAGCATATTGTTTTTCCAGTAGTCATGTATGGATATGAGAGTTGGACCATAAAGAAGGCTAAGAGCCGAAGAATCGTTGCTTTTGAATTGTGGTGCTGGGGAAGACTCTTGAGAGTCCCTTGGACAGCAAGGAGATCAAAGAAGTCAATCCTAAAGGAAATCAACCCTGAATATTCATTGGAAGGACTGATGCTGAAGCTCCAATACTTTGGCCACTTGATGCAAAGAGCCGACTCATTGGCAAAGACCCTGGTTCTGGGAAGGCTGAAGGGCAAGAGGAGAAGGGGGAGACAGAGGAGGCGATGGTTGGATGGCATTACTGAATCAGTGAACATGAGTTTGAGAAAATTCAGGGATATGATGATGAACAGGGAAGCCTGGTGTGCTGCAGTCCATGGGGTCACATGGCTGAGTGAATAGCAACAACAAATAGGTGTGAGCAGTAATAAGGTATGACAGCTATTTCTTAGGAAACAGAGACCTAAGGCTACCTATCACCAGTCTTAGGCAGCAGTGACAACTCAGTTGCCCAAACTCTTCTCTTTCATCAGCTGACCTTGAGGTCAGGTTATGTTCCATTAACTGGCTAAAAGTTAAACAGATGCAGAAAATTGCTAGTACTAAAACAGCTAAGATACAGCTGTATGCTGATTTTGCTTTAAATATACAGATAATCAAGGCCAAATTGATTCAGAAGCATTATTAGCCATCAGGGAAGCCAAATTTATATTAACAGTAATTTTCAATTATGATTGTTAATTTGAACCTGTATAAATGTAATTTAGCTGCATATATCATTTTATTATTCTGCTAAAATCAAAAATTAAACTGAAGAAGCTGTGTTTTCTTATCCTATTCTTGACCCAAGAACACCTATAGAGAGATACTTGTATCATTTTCTTCCCAGACTCTGTGGGTTTGGTATAGTTGAGTTATTTCACCTGTCATGTTTATTTTAATGAAACTAAAGATGTTGGAATAACTCTTGTCTTCATATGCAAATGTTATAAAATGTTATGAAACCATTCTCAGAGAATTCAGAGTTGATCTCCAAATGCCAACTGTATTTACCATCCTTAGAGGACTAATATTTTCACAGGAAAAAATTCCATTAAGTTCCTATGGAGACAAAATAATGAAGATAAATTAAGAAATGCTGTCAGTCACTGGAAAGGAAAATACCAGAATCTCTTGTGTAAAAACACGTGAGAATAGACAGCAAAAATTTTTATCAAGCCTAGGCCTTCTGAATAGACTTATGATTTATAATATTATTTTTCTGACATTTGACAAAGCAAATATTACCCCGTTCTTGAAAGACACAGCTAAGTGGCAGCTCTTTAACATTGTGTCCTTCCAAGTTTGAAACAATTTTAAGAATTTTTTTTTTAAATCGTGAATTTTCGTCAAGCATACTTACCTCTACAACTAAAGATGGGGTTTATTCTGAGCCATATGTAATACTGGTACTCTTGAATCATCAAGTGGTGTGGAGCGTCTCCATGGTGATCCAGTCATGCTGAGCAGCAATGCCCAGGACCCCTTCATTACATGGGAGTGGTTGGGTAGGTCTCTGAAAAGTGTAATCAGTGTTGGGATGTGCAAACCTCCCACCCTGTGACACGATTTAATCATTTCATATCAGCCTTCAAGGTTAGTGACGGGATCATCACAGTATCTGGCTGAAAAAAAAGCTCAGGTAGCGACTCACCAATGACTTCGGTTCTCCTTTCATTATTTTTTTTAAATTTTTTGCTGGACTATTCAGAAGATATGGGTAGTGCAGAAGTGAGTGGATAATATGGCTTCTCTCTCACTTCTCACTGGCTGCTCCTTTCAGGGCACGGCGGTGCTTCTGTAGTCTGTTCCTCCGATCACCAAGCTCCTCCCAGCTCTCCACCTTTAGCCTCAAGTCACCCTCTCCCCACAACGAACAGTCCCAGCTTCTCTCTTGGGCCCCCTTGTGATACATACTTTCATAGTGGTGCACTTCCTTTAGAATTCTGGCAGTGGCCAGTTTGTCTAACTTCATTTAGTGTCTGCCCTTTGGACTAAACTACAAAGGGGGGATTTTGCTTATTCACCATCATATCCTAATCACTGTGGTCCCTGGCTCCTGGTAGTTCCATAATTATTTGGTAAATAATGGTTCCCAAACTGAACTCTTGAGGCACTACTCATATTTGCATCCCTTCCAGAGACAAATGAATAATGTCTTGTGTATGTGGAGGCAATTAACATGTGCTAAATTTTGTCATGTAAAAGTGGAATCTTTTCTAAGAATAATTTGAGAACTGCCCAGATATGATTGTGAAGAAATTCAGTCCTAAATGAAAGTGTTTATTTAATGAAAACTTAGCGATTACTTAAGTATCTTGGAGAAAGTATTTTTAGACTGTGACTTGTAAGGATTTATTAATTAGTATCAGCAGGAGGATTCTTGGTTTCCCCTTGTGCATTAGAAATGCATATGGGTGGTCAATTTTATAGGTCACCATAAAATTGCATCTTGCAGAAAATAATAATTTCTTAAAAGCATAATAAATGTTTGGTTAGTCACTGCTGTAGTTTGGACTGTTTAGTGTCATATTAAAAAATAATCCTACAATCTTTGTGTTAGTTTTTCTTCTTACATTTATCCTGTTGACCACTGAATAAGATGTCTGATATTCAAAAATAAGAATTGAGAAGCACAGTAGTTTCATTCAACACTATTTTATTATCTTTTTTAATAGCTTAAGCTTATCACCCCCAAAAGCTGCAATAAAATCAGCATCCAGGTAAGAGATCACCCTACAGTCTTCTCTTCATTAAATATTGAATGGTGGTTCAGACTATACTTAGCAGTATAGTTTGTCAAAAGATGTAATTTTTGAGAAGCTGGACTCAAATCCTTCATTTAAGGGAATTTTGGAAATATGCTATGACTGGAACTTTTATTAAGTTATGAGAATCAAGGATCCAAGAACTGTATTATTCCTAAAAATGTCTGAATAAAAGCTGTTATTCTGAATGTTGAATTCTCCATAGGTAATTGTTTAGACATCAGAAACTAGTTCACACAAGCTTGCACTTAAACATATTTGTCTCCTTTATAAGGAAGACAATTGGGAAAGAAAATTAAAAAACAAAATATTCCACCCCCAAAAGGCCAATCATCTTTAAAAATTTCATTCTGCAAAATCTATTAATCTATTTTTATTATTCCTGTGAACTTATGACAAGGAATATATCCAGGAACAAGGCTTCAAAATCTATGTTCCATTGTTTGCAGTTACCTTAGATTTTAACTAGGTGTGCAAGTTGACTTCTGACCATGGGGAATCCTCTCCATTCATGGATTTATGGATTGCGGAGGCCATGGCAGATAACCAGTTCCACAGAAGCAACTTCATGTTCTTCTGAGGAAGATCCATAGCACTGTGGAACAAGGAATATAAATGAGCGATGCCATAAGAGACTGCAAACGGGGTTACCAAAATACAGCCCTCAAAAATGAACTCTGAAGGTGGAAAATCTATAAGAAAAAAAAATTAAAATAGGTATTTTTAAATGGTTTCAGCTATCATGTTAAAAGTACCAACCAATATTTAATAAACATGGCACATGCTTCTTAGGCATCTAACAGTCAAAATAACTGTTCATTCCAAGCTCATTAGGTAGAGATGATGTATGAAGTTGTTATAAAAGGAAACATTTTCAGCATTGAGAGAATTATTTAAAAAAACAAAAAACCTCAAGCATCTATAGGAGAAAACACCAAATGAAAATATTCAAACTGTAGTAATAAAATATTTGGCCTTTAATAATTTCCAGTTAAATTATATTTGAAAGCTCTCCCTCCCCCACCCATAGTCATACACAAACACACCAATTTTTAAACGTTTTATAATGGCCAAATATGGGGTTTACATAGATAGGTTTATTAATGGAACTCACTTTTTCATTGGTTTTTGACAAGTGGCTAATTCATTTTAGCCTCCAATCAGTTCCATCGCATTCCTCAATCCCTTTCCTGATGTCTTAACAGTTAATGTCCTGTACCATGAAGAGTGTTTCCTGTGGCACTTGGGGAATTCTCTCTTTGGGGCTTAAATATGTACAGTTCATAAAGTTCTCTCTCTCTCCTTCAGCCCCCATCAGGAATGATAAAGGCATTTCCAGAGGCAAACGATCCTCTTCCTCCGTCTGCTCATCCTCCGCCAGCCCCTCTTCTTCCTCTGCTCTCTCCTCCGCTAAATCCTCCTCCACCTCCTCCTCCCGCTCCTCCATAGAATCAGCCTCTTCGCTCTCCTCATCCCGCTCCTCCATATAATCAGCCTCTTCGCTCTCCTCATCCTTGGCCTCTGCCTCTTCATCCTCCTCCTGGCTCTCCAACTCCTTGCCATCACACTCCTCCTCGTCACACCACTCCTCCTCCCCTTCCTCTTCCTCCACCAGCTGTGAGGTGGCCGACTGCTTTTCCTCGTCTGGGTCAGGACTGAAGAGGAGAGAGGGGTTCTGCCCAAAGCTGTACCGAGGATCTTGCGGCGCCCCGTCTTCCTGGCCACCGCTAGGGGGCGCGTCGTTTCCGAAGGCGCCCTCCGGGGAGGCTGTGCCCGGCGCCTGGGCCTGCTGCGCCCGCAGCGCCGCCTGCTGGCGCTCCAGCTTCTCCTGCTGCCGCATGTCCTCGTAGATCTGGTTCATGATGAACTGCGTGGTGTTGGGCGGCGCCCGCATGCCGGGGGCGCGCCACCCGTACAGGTTGACCGGCCGCAGCAGCGTTCTCAGATCCACCGGAGGGCTCCTCTGGGCGGAGCGGCGAGGGTGACGGCGCAGGCCGCGGCTCCGGCGACCCCAGCGCTTCTTCCTGCCCGGGGGCCTCGCCCAGCCGGGGTTCCAGGGCCCGTGGCAGCAGGAGCAGCAGCAAAGGCAGAGCGGATGCAGGCCATACACCCGGATCACTTGCGCCCGGCCCGGGGGCTTCCGGAATCCTGCCGGAGGTGGGCGCCAGGGCCCTCCCCAGTGCCCCCAGTTAGAACACACGGCCCAGTAGGGACGCCGGGGTGGCTGGAACCAAGGGCCTGGACCGTACTGCTGCTTCGGCTGGTTCCTCGGGGGCTTGTACTCGGCCTGGGGACCGTAGCGAGGCCGCCGCCTGTAAACGGGAGCGTCCCTGCGCCTTCGGGGGCCGGATGACCAGGTGTGTAACGGGGCAGAGGATGCCCAGCCGCCGCCCAAGTTAAGAGGATCCTCTTTTGTGTCGAGGGTCTGGGTCATGATTCAGGGTGCTCCGAGAGGTCGACACGGTAGCGCCCTATAAGCTGTCGTCGCGTTTGGACAGATCTGACGATCTCAAGGGCCTCGTTTCTCTCTCCGCCCAGCACCACGTGCCCACCGCTGGGATCACGCCTTTGTCTCCAGAAGGATCCCCGCCTCTCTGCTCGCTCAGTCGCTGTCCAGCGTAAGTTCTGATCCTTCGCACCCGAGTTGTCTTGCCCAGGTGGGTTAGGTGGGACTGGGATTGGGTAAGGATGGTGGGTGAAGAAGGTGTTGGTGGGCAACGCGCGGTGAGACCCGCTCCCGGGTCCCAAGCACATCCGCCTCACTGGATTCGCGGGCTGGGGCTGGGGGGAGGCAGCGGTCGCGCCGTTACCTTGCTGCTCCCTCTCAACCTAGGTGCTTCACCGTCACCGTCTGGGCTGGACTGGGGTGGCGAGGGCCGCGGCAGCCTTTAAATACCGGCCGGGGGCCCGCGTGCCCACCGCATCCTTGGTTGCCCCAGGAGACAGCCAATTGGGGTTGAGGTCATTCTCCCGGGCGTGGAGGTGGGGTTCCGGCCGGAACCAGGTGCTCAGTGAACATTCGCAGGGGGCTTGTGACGTAGATTTTGCTGGAGGGAGGGCGGAGGCTGGGTTTGTGCAGCCCATGTTAGGGCCGTTTCTTTGCACCCTCGGACCACCTTGAGGTGCTGGGTTAGAGAAGATGGACCCTCAGCCAAACCCAGAGGCGGGGGTTGGGGAGAAACTTGTCTGTTGAGAAATAATATCCTACACCTTTGGGGTGATGGAAGGGGTAAAGAGAAAGCCCCTAGAATTGGAGACAGGGCACCATGCCTTACATTGTGGCCCCTGCGCTGACTTCTGGAGCTGTTTCATCATGCATAAAACTAGATGGCAAATGTTTATTGCGTGTGCTTACTCTGCAGGTGGGCTCATGGCTCACAAGCCTCACACCTACTCTGTGAGGTAGGTATTGTTACCACGTTTTGTAGGTTAGGAAGCTTAGACGTTAATTTACCCGAGTTTGTGAGGTCAGTGAATTTAAGGGCTAGTGTTTAAAAGTATTTGACCTCAGAGCCCAAACTCTTAGTGAGGTTACTGCAGTGCCCAAACACCTTAAACGGGGCTGTGATGAAGAGAACAGGGAATCTGTATGGTCAGGCACCGTACTAATCGTAGTATATCATGTACATGTGCTTTGATTAAACATTACCAGGATGTATCCCGTGGGTTTGTTTGTAAGAATGCTACTGTGCCAATTGTTTTTGTCTTTTTGTTAACCAGGCAGCATGGTACCTTGGGAGCCTCTGTAATATTACAGTTAAGAGTATGGGCCTTGGTTTAAATGGACAAGAGCCTACCCTGAATGATTCCCTACAGTCCTGCCTGACTCTTCGCCGCCCTGTGGGCCATAGCCTGCCAGTCTCCTCTGTCCATGGAGTTCTTCAGGCAAGAATACTGGAGTAGGTTGCTATGCCCTCCTCCAGAGTATCTTCCTAATGGAGGGATAGAACCTGTGTCTTCTGCGTCCTCTGTGCTGGCAGGTGGACTCTTTACCACTAGCGCCACCTGGGAAGTCTGCTGCTAAGTCACTTCAGTCGTGTCCGACTCTGTGTGATCCTATAGACAGCAGCCCACCAGGCTCCCCCGTCTCTGGGATTCTCCAGGCAAAAACACTGGAGAGGGTTGCCATTTCCTTCTCCAATGTGTGAAAGTGAAAAGTGAAAGCGAAGTCGCTCAGTCCTGTCTGGCTCTTAGCGACCCCATGGACCACAGCCTACCAGGCTCCTCCATCCATGGAATTTTCCAGGCAAGAGTACTGGAGAGGGGTGCCATTGCCTTCTCCGCTGGGAAGTCTAGGTTTATCCAAATCTGTAGAAGGTGTAACCGTCAAGAAGAGCCCTAATGACCCCTAATATAAACTATGGACTTTTGTTGATAATGATGTGTCACTGTAGGTTCATTATTAATAAATGAACCACTCTGGTAGAGGATGTTTATAATGGGGGAGAGAGTATATGAGGAATCTCTGTTCCTTCTTCTCATTTTGCTGTGAATATAAAATTGCTCTAAAAAAAAACGGCTAATAAAAAAAAAAATAATGGCTTCCCTGGGAGCTCAGTGGTAAAGAATCTGCTTGCCAGTGCAGAAGACTGAGGCTGGATTCCTATATTGGGAAGATCTCCTGGAGAAGAAAATGGCAACCCATTCTCCAGTACTCTTGCCTGGGAAATCACATGGACAGAGGAGCCTGGCAGGCTACAGTCCATAGGGTCCCAAAGAGTCGGGTATGACTTAGCAACCAAACAACAACAGTAAAAAGTAGAGGTGCTTCAATTTCAACTCAGCAATTATTCACTTCTGGAAGCCTCCAGTTCCTTACCCATACCATGAGTATAGTTATAATGCCTGTTGCGTAGAGTTATGTTAAGGATTAAGTATCAGTTAAAGCACTTAGGACAGGTACTCTGTGAGCACTTAGTAACTGGGAACTAGCATCATTGTCATACTTACATGTTTTAGGACTTGTCAAGAAATTGATCCAGTACGTGTAAAGATAACTAACCTTATGCCTGAAGCAAAAATAGACTAGATGTCCCCATCTTTGTGTCCTTTTTCTTGTCCCACTTTTGAGAAACAGCAGGAAAGTACCACCGGCTTTGACCCTACAGAAAACTGTCAAGTATATTCCTTTATTAGCTTCCTGTGCTCAGTGGAATTGTGCAAAATGGAACACTGCCTCCTGGGAACTGAGTCCATACAAGCTTCCATTAAATGACAGAGAAGCAAAATATGGGGAAGCCCTGATGCTTGCAAAGGTCATTGATACTTTCCTGGTTGAAAATTGAGAATAGTACAGGGGTTCATGGATCAGCACTCCACCCTTTGACGTGGGACTTATAGACTCCACAGACATCATTCAAGTTCATTTGTTCTGTGGTTTGCTGAGGAGACACGTCTGCTTGAGTCCAAGGGCAGAATGCTGACATTTTAAGCCTCCAGTGTCCATTTTTGGACAGACTCCCACACACTTGGTGGTGAGTCACCCCCTGATATGCTGAACTTGGAAATGTGCTATTCCAGATTTATTTTTCTAAGAACATATATGGTATATGATATTGAGTTTTAATTGAGATCTTTAGAAATTGAGCATGTTGATTAGTGGAATTCCCATCTGTTTCTTTCTTTAAAAAAAGATTACCTCAAGGATAATTAAGGGCATTTTTTTGATCAGTTGATGTGAACTTTATATAAGTAATACTGGCTTTATACACTTTTCCCATGGTGAGATATATATCTTTCAAATCTGTCCTCCCTACTTAATAACATTAATGCAGAATTGTCTTCCTTTTCTTAAGAGAAGCAGCAAATTACCATTTATGATTTTTGTTTTTTTTCAGTAGATTTACATTATAATACTGGTTGTTCATGTACTGGTAAATTACTCAAGAGAATTAGCACCGGAGCTTGTTAAGCATCACCATCAGAAATGCAGTTAAGAAATTTTAAAGACTTTTAAAATTGACCCGTATTCTTCACAAACTGCAAAAGGAAATACTTTGATTCAACATTAAAATCCAACACACCATATTTTTATATATTGTATCCATCTAGATTGTTACATTAAAAATTCCCACAAACTTAGTCATCCATAGTTAAAACAATGTGTACATACATTTGTTTTCTCAGCATTTCCAAGTGTTGGGATTCAGGAACGACTTAGCTGTGTTTTCTGCTCAGGATCTCCCTGGGGCGAAGATATAAGCATTTGGCTGTTTGTGCCCTCATCCTGGAGCTCAATTTGGGAAAATCTGCTCCCAAGATCATTCATGTCATTGGCAGAATTTATTTCCTTGTGGCTGTTTAACTGAAGGCCCTAAACTTTAGCTTGCATGTTGGCTGGAGGAAGTCTTCAGGTCTGGAGGCTAACGGCAGGTTGGCAAGGACAATGGTGGTCCTTAGAGGCAGCCTGCAGATCCCAATCATGGGCTTCCTCACCGTGGCCGCTCACTTCCTCATGATAGCCAAGAGCCTCTCCTTCGTGCTTCCTAGCACAGTGAACACTCAGAGACACATATATGTGTGTATCATAATCATGGGGCTTGACTTTTGTGACATCCCTGAGCTTTGTCATATCCTCTTGGCTAGAAGCAAAGCCCAGGTCCTACCAGGGCTCAAGAAGAGAGGTTGGATACCAAAGGCACGTATACCAACAGGCAGGAAATCATTGGGGATCACTTTAGTCTGCTTGCACACATTTCAAGTAAAGGCAGTCAAATATGTCCTTTATAGCAACTAGTTGCAACTTGGGAGATTTTAATGATACTGCTGCATTTTGAAATTCTGATGAGTGCCATGTAACAGCATTGATTTTTCTATGTTTCATGTTATTCAGAGCGTTATTTTGTTAAGTTGAAAACACTGCAGTCTTGGTTGTGCATTTGGGTGACTTGAAAAGAATGAATTCTAACACTTGATGGCAGTAGTAACTCAAGATTCAGTCAGTAAAAATCCTTATACCAAAGAAACTGAAGCTAGACACTTTATAAAAAATATTTTATCACATATATCAAGTTACTCCAGGTTGCCAATATTAATTATCCTTTTTTTTTTCCTGGAGTGGTAGAATTGGGTATATTTATTAGATTTTAGCATTTTTTGGACTGGATTTTGGAAAGCTGAGCTCAGCTAATTAAACTTATAAATAAAATTCTTCAAAGTGGGATATACCTGATACATTGGTCAGAGAAATGAAATGCAAAGAATATTTCATATTTATCTTTGTAATCAATGTGTTGCTATGATATACAAAAAGTAATGTAAACATAACTCCTTTTATGCACTCTCAAAAACTTGCCTTTTTCCACCCTGAAGATATTCATGTAGTTTAAAATGTCATCGCCATCTAGTGATTACAGAGACTAAATGCAAGGTATTAAGCCTTTCCAACTTCTTGAAAGCGAGAAAAGGATTCAAAACTACTCATTGCTTTCTCTCCACAATTTGGAAAGTTGTGGTGTTTGAAAGTTAATGAGGCACCTTGTACACCAGGAATGCCACTGTGATATTTTCCATTTATGATTCTCATATTATTTAAATAAATTGAAAGTTTATAATAAAATAACTACAAAGACAGTGTTGCTACAGATTTAAAGAGAAGTAAGGATGTGAATTTTACACTTATAATAGTAGTCTTTGTAGGTATTATTTGCTATTGCCTTTTGAAAATATTACTAACCCTCCAACAACTCAAGGTTTTCAGAGGATTAGCAAAATATATTGTAGTCCTGTTATCTGAGAAATATGTGTATTTGGTGAGAATTAGGAATTTCAATATGGAGATGTTTGCTTATAAATAGTTTTAAAGTACACTATAATATGGGACAATAAAATGCAATGGCCTCCCCCTTGGAAAAGAACCTGTAATATTTAGAGAAAAAGAAATGTGTATAGCATATTCATGAAGAAAAACTGTTGCTATAAGGAAAAAAGATTGTGTTTAATCAGGGATCAATTTTAGAATCAGAGCTTTCAGTTAAGAATGTGAGGTGTTTAAAGTGGTCATTTAAATGGGATACATTTAAAAGGAATGCTATTATCACATACTGTATTTTCAGGGTTATAGTACTACTTTGTCCTCATAGAGTTGATGATGAATTACATCTGTAAAGCAACCTTGTGAGTAGGCAGTCATAATGCACATGAGAATGTCAACTGACCCCATAGCTTTTGCATAATGATACTCTTTTTACCCAGTATTTTCTTTTCTTTCTTCCTTCCTTCCTGTCTTCCTTTTCCTTTCTTTTCATTCTTTCCTTATCTTTTCATTCTTTCTTTCTCTCTCTCACTCTATCCCTCCTTCCTCTTTCTTTCCTTTGACTACAACTTCCTACACCCCACTCTCATGATTTTGTAGTCATGGTGTGTTGAGAAGACTGTGAGAACAGAGGGGTTTTCTATGACATTTGTGGGGAGAAATCACAAGATTCCGAGATCTTGTAATGATTCCAAGATCATCAGTAGTTTGTGTGGGCAGGCCATTATGAATTTATGGACCCTTTCCTCCATTAAAAAATAAAAGTTATATTTTATATCGTGTTGCTATAAACACTAATATATTCCAAGCTGGATTCTTTATTGCCTGTTTACTATTATTACTATAATTGTGTGTTTTCTTTTTATTGAAAAGCATATGCAAAGTTCTGAAAATGAGTAAGTCAGCCTTGCCTGCTGGGAGTCTTTCTTTACCCTCCTGGTCCAAAGCATCTCAGTCCATCTTTCTGCTGAATTTCTGGAGGTTGGGTATCTGGAAGCCTACTCTAGACCCCAGAGTGTTTACTCAAATGTGACTCAAAGGCCTTTGGCCATTTGGAAGTCACTGTGGCATGCAAAAAGATAACACTGAGCTTGGCACCTATGTTAGTCTGTTTGGGCTCCCATAATATCATCCCATAGATTGAGGATAGGATATCCAAATCAGCTGATTTGACTTCTAGTGGGAGCTTACTTCCTGGATTGCAGATGGACGATTTCTCATTATGTCATCACCTGGCTTTTCTTTTCTTTTTTTTTAACTAATTTATTTAATTGGAGGCTAAATACTTTACAATATTGTAGTGGTTTTTGCCAAACATCGACATGAATCAGCCACAGGTGCACATGTGTTCCCCATCCAGAACCACCCTCCCACCTCCCTCCCCGTCCCATCCCCCAAGGTCATCCCAGTACACCGGCCCTGAGCACCCTGTCTCATGCATCGAACCTGGACCGGCGATCCACTTCACATATGATAATATACACATTTCAATGCTTTGCTCTCAAATCATCCTACCCTTGCCTTCTCCCACAGAGTCCAAAAAACTGTTGTTTACATTTGTGTCTCTTTTGCTGTCTCGCATATAGGGTCATCGTTATCATCTTTTTAAATTCCATATACATGTGTTAGTATATTGTATTGGTGTTTTTCTTTCTGACTTTCTTCACTCTCTATAATAGGCTCCTGTTTCATCCACCTCATTAGAACTGATTCAAATGAATTCTTTTTAATGGCTGAGTAATATTCCATTGTGTATATGTACCACAGCTTTCTCATCCATTCGTCTGCTGATGGGCATCTGGGTTGCTTCCATGTCCTGGCTATTATAAACAGTGCTGCGATGAACATTGGGGTGCACGTGTCTCTTTCAGATCTGGTTTCCTCGGTGTGTATGCCCAGAAGTGGGATTGCTGGGTCATATGGCAGTTCTATTTCCAGCTTTTTAAGAAATCTCCACACTGTTTTCCATAGTGGCTGTACTAATTTGCATTCCCACCAACAGTGTAAGAGGGTTCCCTTTTCTCCACACCCTCTCCAGCATTTATTGCTTGTAGACTTTTGGATAGCAGCCATCCTGACTGGCGTGTAATGGTACCTCATTGTGGTTTTGATTTGCATTTCTCTGATAATGAGTGATGTTGAGCATCTTTTCATGTGTTTGTTAGCCATCTGTATGTCTTCCTTGGAGAAATGTCTGTTTAGTTCTTTGGCCCATTTTTTGATTGGGTCATTTATTTTTCTGGAGTTGAGCTGGAGGAGTTGCTTGTATATTTTTGAGATTAATCCTTTGTCTGTTGCTTCGTTTGCTATTATTTTCTCCCAATCTGAGGGCTGTCTTTTCACCTTGCTTATAGTTTCCTTTGTTGTGCAAAAGCTTTTAAGTTTCATTAGGTCCCATTTGTTTATTTTTGCTTTTATTTCTAAAATTCTGGGATGTGGGTCATAGAGGATCCTGCTGTGATTTATGTCGGAGAGTGTTTTGCCTATGTTCTCCTCTAGGAGTTTTATAGTTTCTGGTCTTACATTTAGATCTTTAATCCATTTTGAGTTTATTTTTGTGTATGGTGTTAGAAAGTGTTCTAGTTTCATTCTTTTACAAGTGGTTGACCAGTTTTCCCAGCACCACTTGTTAAAGAGATTGTCTTTTCTCCATTGTATATTCTTGCCTCCTTTGTCAAAGATAAGGTGTCCACAGGTGTGTGCATTTATCTCTGGGCTTTCTATTTTGTTCCATTGATCTTTATTTCTGTCTTTGTGCCAGTACAATACTGTTTTGATGACTGTAGCTTTGTAGTATAGTCTGAAGTCAGGCAGGTTGATTCCTTCAGTTCCATTCTTCTTTCTCAAGATTACTTTGGCTATTTCAGGTTTTTTTGTATTTCCATACAAATTGTGCAATTATTTGGTCTGGTTTTCTGAAAAATACTGTTGGTAGCTTGATAGGGATTGCATTGAATCTGTAGATTGCTTTGGGTAGTATACTCATTTTCACTACATTGATTCTTCCTATCCAGGAACATGGTATATTTCTCCATCTATTTGTGTCATCTTTGATTTCTTTATGACTTTTCTTTAGTATAGGTACACACACACACACACACGCACACACACAAAATCTCCTTTTCTTCCTGTTCGTATAAGGCCACTAATCTCATCATGAATGCCCTACCTCATGACCTCATCTAACCCTTATTAAACTCCTAAAGGCCCCATTTCCAAACACCATCACAATGGGGAGGGAGGGTTATTTAGGACTTCAATATACAAATTTTGGGGGTAAGCATTCAGCTCATAACAACTTCCCTGTCCAGTCTGTACATCATTTTCTTGTATTCCAATACAGGGAAAAGACACATTCATGGTATATGAGATAGGACAGTGAGGGGAAGTAGAATAGGCCTTTGGGGTCAGCCCTTAAGCAGGGGCAAGTTGTTTAAGCTTTCTCTCTGATCTGTGATTGGAATAGTCATTGCTATCTTCAACTCTTAGGATGTTGGGAATTAATATATGCAGAAAACCTTAGATGCCTAGTACATCTTTTGTGTTCAAGAATTGGTTCCTGTTGTAACAATATACATTCTTGTAGTAGGCTGATATATGTTTTTCAAAATCAGTAGAGCTGTGTGTGCCAATATGATAGACATGGCAGGAATGATCAAGGAATAGTTTTAAGTGAAACAAGAAAAATAGTGATTATCTATTGTGCTTAAAAATCCATATTTATATGTACCGATACATACATAATAGTGAGATATATATATATATATATATATATATCCATGTGTATTTTTGTAAAAGAGGAGCAATTATTTTTGCTTCTCATGGAAAACTTGATAAAATAATGAAAGAAACCATTGACTATTTCCAAGGAGTGGAACTTAGGGTTTGCTGCAGGAAAGAAACTCACCTTTCATTGTGCACTCTTTTGCTATCTTTCAGTTTTTTGTATTATTATCATACTTTTCAGAAAGTTCCATTTTCTCTCCTTAACTTCTTCCCTACTGCCATTTTCATATTATTGTTTATATTTTCCATTTTCTATATTTTATTTTATTCACAGGCACAGAAATATTCAGTTCAGTTCAGTTCAGTCGCTCAGTCATGTCCAACTCTTTGCGACCCCATGAATCGCAGCACGCCAGACCTCCCTGTCCATCACAAACCCCCGGAGTTTACTCAAACTCATGCCCATCTAGTCGGTGATGCCATCCAGCCATCTCATCCTCTGTTGTCCCCTTCTCTTCCTGCCCCCAATCCCTCCAAGCATCAGGGTCTTTTCCAATGAGTCAACTCTTCACATGAGGTGGCCAAAGTATTGGAGTTTCAGCTTCAGCATCAGTCCTTCCAATGAACACCCAGGACTGATCTCCTTCAGGATGGACTGGTTGGATCTCCTTGTAGCCCACCAGTTAACTAATAATAACTAATAATTAGGAAAGGTCTAAAATCAGTTGGCAGGTCTTTAGGATGATAAAATATTATTGTTAAAATACTGAAGCTATATTTATTATGATTACTTGCTTGTTGTGATTATAATGAATATTTTCCACAAGGCCCTCATAATTTTCAAATATTTTTATTCTTTTCTTCATTTTCTTTAATTAATTTGAAAAAAAAATGCTTTAGTAAAAAAAAAGGAAAAGTTTAATTAAAACATTTAAATCTTGGCAATATACCTACACTGTTAATTTTTAATTTTTATTATGATTACTTTAAAATTATATAGGATATGAGTTCCTAAAACTTGAAAATTACATGTGATTTATAAGAATATCTATGAAATATTTTCTCTTAGTCTCCTATTTCTGTACATTTTTGGTTTATTTCTGATTCATCTGGTGTTTTCTTAGACTACTACATTGCTATCATATATTAAAACTTTAGCTGTATTTTATGTACTTATATCATCTTCCAGAACATATTTTGAAAGTATCATGCTGAGGTTTCTTTTTGAAGAGAGCAGGAAGAATCATTTTGTTATAGGAGGCATCATAATGCTAACCATTATCTGAAATCAGACAAGACTCCCAATAGGCAAACGAGGCAGACACATGTAAGCTTGAGGAGTTTTGCTGAGATTGATAGGGTTTCCATCCAGTCGAATATCCTCTAATGCCTTACGAATATAAGTCAAATTTTTAACATTGCAGAAGGTATCTTCATGCATCTCCAGAATGTTGTTATTCTAAAAAAGATTAAGATAAATTATTAGATGAGCTATCACCTATTCCTCGTATTGATTAATAATATAGTCCATTTTGCTCCACCTCTGCTTTTACTCTTTCGTTCCTTCTCTCATCCAGAAATGCACATTACGCAATTATTATATACGTCAACACTTTCTAAGCAGTGAGGATAAGCCAATAAACATAAGAAACATATGCTTGCCTTTATGGAGCTTATACTTCAGTGATGGGAGTATAAGATAATGAGATGAAAAAGCAAATTTAAAGAAAACAATTTATTTCCAAAAATAATGTGAACTAAGAAGAAAGGAAAGTGTCTGTGAACACTTACCTTAAGAGACAGCAGTGGAGCTGCGAATGGAATGAGGAGGAGGCAGGGGCATGGGAGACAGCTGAGGCAAGAATGTCCCAGACAGAGAGAATGTCAAGTTCAAATTCTGAGTAATATGCAGAGAAAGTTCAAGAATGAGAAAAAAAATGTCAAAATGGCTGTTGGGTTGAAAGGTTTGTACGTGACTGTTAGGGCTTGTTAGGGCTGTTAGTGTTGCTGAAGTCTTCTGTTTCTCAGTATATCTTATGGCTAGTTGTTCTATCCACTAATGAAAGTGGAATATTGAGGAATCTATTATTGTTGAATTGTCTTTTTCTCCCTTCAATTCTGATAGTGAAGTCTTTATAAGTTTTGAGGCTTTGTCGTTAGGTGCATAGGTATTTATAACCCTTATGTCTTTCTGATGGATTGACTATTTTACAAAGTGTCCATGAGAAATAATATAGATTTAGTGCCTATGCACTAGTCTATTTTCTTTGATAGGTAATAGATACTCAGTTAATAATTATCATGCCTTATCTTTAAGTCATTATCATGTATCAGTGAATGCAGCACCCACTTTATAAACTAAAACTGAGATGCAGGGAGGTTTAGATATTTGTTCAATCATTAAATAGTGTCAAAGTAGAATTTCAGCCCAGGGAATCTGCTTTTGCCAGATCTGTCATTCTTATAGTATGTTGGAAAATATTTTTCAAGTGAATCACAAAAAGAGATTTTTATAAGAGCATTAAAAATAAATATAAAATGAAGACAATGTAAATTAAAAACAGCTTTATACTGGATATTGGTGAGGTGATTGTGAAAGAGAAATCTTTTTAAATGTTCACTCGATACTTTTTTAAACCTTAGAATAGGGAATATAAAGCCAATCACTTAAAAAAAAATCTTGGATTGCATATGCAGGCACATTATGTTTAAATATAACATCAGAGACCTGGTTACTCTGTAGACTCAATATCATCAGACAGTAGTAATGAAATTTAATTCAGAATTTGAAAAAAATTTCCAGTTCCTTTTGTGGTTCCCTTGAAAATCCTCTTTCTAATCCTAAACCAGGCAAGAATTTCTCATTGACATAGACATTCACCCCCAGAAAAAGAGAAGACCAATAGAGAGCCATCCAGAAACCAGATAAGGGCTAGAAAGGGCATCACATTAAGGAAGTTAAATAGTCAGAAAAACTCTCAAGAGATAGATATCTAAGAGTCATAGACAGATACACACAGAAAGACACCAGAAAGAAGTATGGGAAGATGTAAATAGGGATGGAAGAAAAGACACAGAAGTAAATAATTACAGAATCCACAGAGTAAAGAAGAAAGAATCAGACTTGCTCTCACATAGCAGAATCACTTCTTGTGATGGTTTATACTTTTCATCCTAAAAGACTGTAATATTGCACTATGATATTGTGTCTTTGAGCATATAATGGTTATGTTCTCCACAGATTTATTCCACAGAACAGATGAAATTATTACAGAATATTAATTACAACTGTATACCAAAAGTTACATCTGAAATAAGAAGTAATTTATCTTTCTTTGTTTCAACAACCAAAAGTGTTTTTTAATTGATCATATTGTAATATACTTCAATGGAATATATTTGGTTGGCCAAAATTTGTTTGGGTTTTTCCATAACATCTTACAGAAAAAAACATGAACAAACTTATTGGCCAACCCAGTACTTAGAAAATATTAGATCGTAACATTTTGAAAATGTGTTTTCACTCATTACTTCAAAAATAAAATGTAGCTTAAAGAAGCTTAAAATAACGCAAGCTTTCAAATATGTTGGTTTAGAAAAAACTGCATTTTCTTAATCCAGAGAAATGAAAGTCCATCATCTCTCAGCAGATAGGAATGTCCTAGGATTGACTTTAACTCAGTTCATGGAACCTAAAATCAGGAGCTAAAACTGACATTTTTTTCCCTCTGAAAGCTAGAAATCAAATTAAATTTTTCTTTCTCTCTTATTCTCTTCCATTTCTAATCTTCACACATTTCTTCGGCAGATGAAGCTCTTATTTTCTAAAAAAGAAGATTTGTGTGCCAAAAAGATGCATTATGAGGTGGCAAAGAATGAAAATAAAGACTAAAGTTAGTTATCAGAAATAAATCAGTATAGATGAGTCATGAATGTGCAGACAGCTTGTACTCAGAGTGAGAGAGAGAATAAATGAGAGAGAGAAAAAAAAAAAAAAACTAGCACAGTGTATTAACATGTCATCATACAGCTTTTGCATCGTGGCTTCTCCCGTCTGCATCCGTTTTCCATGGATATGTTGGGCATAACTTACTAGTATTAGCCTACCTGGAGATGAAGGGCCCTCAGATTTTCTGGGAGTGGTAGCGGGATGTGATCCAAGTTGTTATCCGTGAGGTAGAGATGATGGAGATCGTACATATCCTGTAAACGTTCCAAGTGTAGGGCCTTAATAGAAATTAGTGGTGCCACAGTCATACGATTCATCCCCTGTTTATGAAACTATTTATAAAATAACACATGCCTGTTTAGGTCTTGTTTCCTAAGTGAGTGAAGTCGCTCAGTTGTGTCCGACTCTTTGCGACCCCATGGACTGTAGCCTACCAGGCTTCTCCGTCCATGGGATTTTCCAGGCAAGAGTACTGGAGTGGGCTGCCATGCTTTCTAAAGTCGAGGCAAATTAGTTTTCTCTGTTCCTGGACAATTCAAATGAGTTCCACAAGAATTGATAGAAAGCAAGTATCTCTCGATGTAAATGAAACATCTTTCTTAGTCTCTGGAAGAACCTACTTTGTCCACTCTAACTTTCTCAGTTTAAGCAAGGCATTGATTTCCCACATAGAGGTTCTGCAATAAAATTTTGAGGATTATGGTGGGAAATAACAAGAAGTTCCTTTATGTTACAGGAATGGGGAAATGAGAAATTCTCCCCGAGAAAATCCTACCGTCTCCAGCGCAAGTAGCAAGAGGGCACCCTAGCAAGACAGAATATACGTTTAGATACGACCAGGTCTACTCCGACCAAATGTCACAGAACAACTGTGACTCACTGTCACCCATGCCAATAGACTCTGAGTGACGGGACTAGATTTGATCTTTGCCAGGCTCTGATGAGGTGCCTTAACTCCCTTGCCTGCCACAGTGGTGTTGCAGGAGCACTAGTGGAAATACAGGCTTTCTACCATTGCCCAGGGCTAGTGAATGAATCCACACAACCCCTTGTAGCCTCCATGGAAGTTGTGAGATGTCCCTTTAAACAGTAGCTTAAATTTATTTGTTCAACAGATATTTAGAGAAGCAACTCGAAGGGAGTTAAGACTGGGTAAGAAAGCCAAACTGGTTACTGTTCTCAGACTCTCTGCGGTCATGCCAAGCAAAGCCATTCTAACCCCAAATTTGTTTCCTTCACTTGGAAAACAAAATTCATAAGATTAACTGAATCCATCCCCCTTACAGATAATTTAGAAGGCTTCTACCCTCAAGGCATCACCCACACTCTGTACAAGTAACTGTCCTTCCAACCACACAAAGTACTGTCCCTGAGTGGAGCCTTGGTAAATATGAATCATTTGGCTTATAGCATTCCTAAGTGCAACTTAACAGACCGGTGCTCCACCCACTTCTTATTCCAGCTCTGCTTTCTCCTCTTAGTTCTTGAGCAGCTTCAGAATGCACCAGTATTTCCCAGAGGCATGACACATAGTGTTCTAAAGTTTACTTTAGGCATTAAAAGTCTCATCAAATTGAATCCCTTTGTGGAAATAAAAAGGCTAGACACTGATAGCAAAGGGAATGGGAAGATTAAAGTATTTCATATTCAAACTTAAAACTCACTTTAAATGCTTCTTGCTTTATTCCTTTCCTTCCAAGTCTATTGTTGCTGATGTCAATAAATCTCAAAGTGGTTGGCAATTCTGGGAGCTGCCTGATTTTGTTGTCACGCAGGACAAGCTCTCGGAGTTGAGGCAGCTTTCTGAATGCATCTTCATCAATCTCAGATATTAAGTTTGACGTCAGATCAATCCTTCTTAGATCATCTGGAAAAAAAAAAAAACATGAGAGAAGTAGTTGAATATGTTTCACTCACGTAGAAATATAAATATAAAATTTCCCACATGTAAACAAGTATAGGCATGAATTAGCAATAGTTAATGAAACAATTATTTCTAGTAACTTTATAAAAGCTTAATAGACTGCAGCTGCTCCTCAGTCATGTCTGACTCTTTGCAACCCCATGAACGACAGCCCTCTAGGCTCCTCTGTCCATGGGAGTCTCCAGGCAGGAATACTGGAGTGGGTTGCCATTCCCCTCTCCAGGGTATCTTCCTGACCCAGGGATTGAACTCCTGTCCCTATGTCTCCTGCATTGGCAGGCGGGTTCCTTACTACTGAACCACCTGGATTTCCTCCAAATACTATTCATATTTATGTACTCCAAAGAAAGTGTAGCCTTAGCAAAGAAATGGACACATTATATTTCATTCTATTTAAAATCATTGGTCTTTTTCCTATATTCCTCATAAATTTTGTCTGGATCTTACTATTTAAAATATTTTTTTCTCCATGCTGGTAGATTATTGTATTTTCTAACAGTAATAGATGCATTAGCATGAAAATACACAGGCATTAAAAAGAAATTTTCAAATGATAAAAACACTTAATGAAGACAAATACCAACTTTCTTCAAAGTTGGCAACAATCATAAAGTCAGAATTTAGATTTGCATTCATCAATTATAAAGCAATTGTGCTTTTTTTTAAAAATTGTGCTTCAATGGAAGTCTATTTGAACAAGCCAGATTCTAGTAAATATATGGTCATGACTTTCTGCTCTTATTGTGATAATGTGATAATGAGTTTTAGCCTATAAAGTATAATTATTTGTGATTTTTGTTTACTTGAAAATAGTTTGAGAATATCAACAACTATATAGTTTCATGTGCATAAGTCACATCACTTCAATAGTGTCTGACTCTTTGTGACCTCATGGACTGGGAACTGTCATGGGGATTCTCCAAGCAAGAATACTGGAGTGGGTTGCCATGGCTTCCTTGGGGGGACCTTCCCTATGCAGGGATCGAACCCATTTTTTTAATGTCTCCTGCATTGGCAGGCAGGTTCTTTACCACTAATGCCACTTGGAAAATCCATATAGTTTCATAACGACCTTTAATGATTCATCATTCTTTCTTATTGTAATTAAAACAAACCTTCAAGCATGCAAATAAGTAAAAATTGATTTATGAGACCTATTTTGATATTTATGTGTCATTTTCAGTGCCAACATTTTATAATGCAAACATTTAAGAAACAAAAAGGAAGGATATCAGTGCCAGCATCCATACTTAGGCTTGCAAAATCATTTTTGTTGATCTTTTTAATTCTGTTAAAACGGGAATAGAAATAAGCTGTGTTCTTGGGCAGCGGAGGAATAGCATCAAGCTCGTGGTCATCACAGTATACGGTGGTACTTATACAAGTACACAGAAGGCAGGTTGGAAAGTCTAAAAGAAAGGCAAATAATATATGTAAGCAACAGGCAATTTATAACAAATAATGGGATTACAAATGTTTATTAAGCAAGATTACAGTCTCATATAGAGTATTCTGGAATATTTAATATCTTCTTATGTAGTTTTCTATAAATAGAATACTAAAGTCAAATATAACAACTCAGGCTGCCCCAATAATGAATATATTTGTAATATTTTAAAATTTTAAATTATTTACTGAATATAGCATGATTGTTGCTTTTATATTTATTGAAAATTCTACTTTCAGAAGTAAATATTAAGATTGTGTATAAATTTAAAACATTACATATAATATTTTTATTCTATCTTTCATTCAGTATTTAAACACGCCACTGAAATAAAATCAAGGGAAAAGGTAGGGCAATTATCATTATTAATTCACTCAATATGCATTTATTGAATCTATTCTATGTAAATTGCCCTGTGCTAGCCGGTGAAACAGTGGTAAGCACAGAGACACAGTTCTGTTTCATGATCTGCTATGTAAGATGGATGTTAATGACACAAATAAAATGATGATTGTGGTAAATGTCATGGAATATCATAGAGGCATACAATAAGAGAATTTGATCCAGTCTGAGAGTCATGGTTCTTTGAGGAGGTGATAACTGAGTTGAAATCTGCAGGAAGAGCAGGACCTGACTGTTGAGGTGAGTGGAAAGAGTCTGCAGGCAGAGGACGCAGCACGTGCCAGCTCCCTTCACTCTGGGGGAACTGAAAGGCGGTCCTGTAGCTATGGCACAGAAGCACTGAAATGTGTAGGATGCAAAACACACAGGCCTTATGGGCTTGTTACAGGTTTTGTCTCTTGTCCTAAGGATGGGCAGGAGTATTACATGACCAGATTTGCTTCTTAAGATATCACCCTGCTTGAAGGTGAGCCGGAAGACTGATTGGGGGGCGGGGGGGGGCGCGGAGTGGGATGAGCATAGGGGCAATGAGTTATCAAGATAAGAGATGGTGCTTGCTTGGCTATGATAATGTGATAGAAAAGGCAACAGATCCCCCCCTAAAAAATTTAAGTTATATTACATCTCCATTTATTTATCTATTCTCTCTCTCTCTCAGTCACACACACACACACACACACACACACACACATAAACACAGCCCCCTCCTTCACTCTCTGCTTCTTGCTTTTATTGGTCTTATAGAGGACAGAGAGCTTCTAAGGGAGATAGAGAAGCAATGGTCAGAAGAAAAGAAGGATAGTAGATGGTCAGTATTATGGAGGCCAAGTGGAGAGAGAGTCTGAAGGAACAGGGAATAGAAAATAATCTAAATCTGCTGAGATGTCAGTCTCTTGGAATAGTTACTATGGAGGTTATAGGAGACTTCGGTAAGCGCTGTGGAGTGATAAGGCTGGAAGCCATATCACAGTCCCTGAAGGAGGATGTAGGAGGTGAGGAAACAGTTACAGAACATGCAGACAATGTTTCTGAGATGTTTGACTGTAAACAAAAAGGAAAGAGAGATAGTGATAACTATAAGACATATTTGTAGTGTGTATGATGAGGAAATGGACTTTCCCTGTCCATCACCAATTCCTGGAGGTTGCCCAAACTCATATCCATCAAGTTGGTGATGCCATCCAACCATCTCATCCTCTGTTGTCCCCTTCTTCTCCTACCTTCAACCTTTCCCAGAATCAGGGTCTTTTCCATGAGTCAGTTCTTCCCATGAGGTGGCCAAAGTATTGGAACTTCAACTTCAGCATCAGTCCTTCCAATGAATATTCAGGACTGATTTCCTTTAGGATGGACTGGTTGGATCTCCTTGTTGTCCAAGGGACTCTCAAGAGTCTTCTCCAGCACCACAGTTCAAAAGAATCAATTCTTCGGTGCTCAGCTTTCTTTATGGTCCAGCTCTCACATTCTTACATGACTACTGGAAAAACTGTAGCTTTGACTATACAGACCTTTGTCAGCTAAGTAATGTCTCTCCTTTTTAATATACTATCTAGGTTTGTCATAACTTTTCTCCCAAGGAGCTAACGTCTTTTAATTTTATGGCTGCAGTCACCAAACACAGTGATTTTGGAGTCCAAGAAAATAAAGTTGGTCACTGTTTCCATTGTTTCCCCATCTATTTGCCATGAACTGATGTAACTGGATGCCGTGATCTTAGTTATTTGAATGCTGAGTTTCAAGCCAGCTTTTTCACACACCTCTTTCACTTTCATCAAGAGGCTCTTTCTCTTTCTTCAATTTCTTCCATAAGGGTGGTGTCATCTGCGTATCTGATGTTATTGATATTTCTCCCAGCAATCTTGATTATATCTTGTGCTTCATCCAGCCCAGCATTTAGCATGATGTGTTCTGCATATAAGGGTGACAGTATACAGCCTTAACATACTCCTTTCCCAATTTGAAACCAGTCTGTTGTTCCATGTCCGGTTCTAAGTGTTTCTTCTTAACCTGCATGCATATTTCTCAGGAGGCAGATCAGGTAGTCTGGTATTCCCATCTCTCTAGGAATTTTCCCCAGTTCGTGGTGTCCACACAGTTAAAGCCTTTGGTATAGTCAATAAAGTAGAGGTAGATGTTTTTCTGGAAATCTCTTGCTTTTTCAATGATCCAATGGATGTTGGCAATTTGTTCTCTGGTTCCTCTGCCTTTTCTAAAACCAGCTTGAACATCTGGAAGTTCATGGTTCATGTACTGTTGAAGCCTGGCTTGGAGAATTTTGAACATTACTTTGCTAATGCGTGAGATGAGGGCAATTGTGCGGTAGTTTGAGCATTCTTTGGCATTGCCTTTCTTTGGGAGTGGAATGAAAATTGACCTTTTCCAGTCTTGTGGTCACTGCTGAGTTTTCCAAATTTGCTGGATGTAGATGGAAATGTATGTAAAATATGTAGGGTGTGGATATAGATGTAGGTAAATTATGTGTCTGAAAATAGAAAGACCAAAGAGCTGTTGACCTGAAGACTGTACTTTCTTTGTGTAAGAGGAAGCTAAGCTCTCTGACTAGTTTGAGGAGTTTTGGGAGAAGGAGAGAATGGTTGTGAGATGTGAGATGGATGGAGAAAGTAAAATAGCCATGAGAGACAGGAGAAAAAAGTGATGGAAGACTTTCTTGGGATTGCTTGGTGATCCTCATTTAGCTGAGACTTTGCTGGTTTTAGCATTGGAAGCCTCGTGTCTTGGGATCCCTCACTACCAGGCAAATCAGGACATTTGGTTGCCCTTGTTGAAGAATCCATTTGTGGTTTGAAGATCAAGAATTAGTAATGCACCTACTAGGGTCTTATTCTTGTTGTTGTTTAGTTGTTAAATGGTGTCTGACTCTTTGCAACTCAAATCTGACCCAGGGATTGAACCCAAGTCTCCTGCATTGCAGGCGCATTTTAATGATTTTAATTATAGAGTTAGGATTCCCAAGAAAACAATGTCATTAAATAGAAAAAATCACTTATAACAACTTTAGGAATGAAAGCTATTTTAGGAATGGAAGTTTGAGAAAAAATTTTAAGGGAGAGCTATAAAATATTTAATACTTGCTAATTTCTCCAATTATTATAAAATGAATATTTTCTCTTTATCACAAAGTTTCAAGAAGAAAAGCATTTCATTCTTCTATATATTCATGGCCATGCTAATTTAGCAATAATTGCTTAGAATAATTATATATAGTCACAACAGTTGTTTTTAATTCTAGCTTTTTTCACTTATAACTCAAGCCTACTCAATGTAGCTTCTGAATATTATTTCTAGAAATTGATATTTATAGTAACAAATAATGTTTTGGTTTTTAATGTTTTAAATATTTCCAAACTATTTGACATAAATCAATTTACGATTTACGTTTAAGTTTTAAAGTTTAGAATTTACGTCTGTGTAAAGTAAAATGTGAACTAAATTTTTAATTTCATTACTTAGACTGCTTTAAGAAAGAAATTTTTTAAGTCATAATTTTTCTTACATTTTTTCAAAATTTACATTATTGAGCCATAAAGTTTACTAGAGCTTTTCAAAAGATTGGGCATTCTGCTTCTCTTAGTCTTGGCACATCAGGTAATTCCAAATCAGTCAACTTTTGAAAGCTCTGAAATTACTTAAAAGTAAGTAATGTTCTAGAGATATTTAATTTCCCTGTTTTGAGGACTTTCTGCTGAGTATGCACATTTCCTTCTCATTGTGTGTGTATCTTCCTGGTTCTGTTTTTAGCATGTTTTATCACCCCCACAGAAAGTTGACTATGTGGAAAGACTGTGATGTATTCATTAAAGACAGGATTTAGTGGTTTCTGCCTTCATTCCGGCACCATTACGTACCACCTCCATGATCTTGGACCACTTTTATGGTATTTGGAATTTTAGTTTGCCTATTTATAAAGTGAAAATAATAATAACTAGCATGTACTTAGTACTATTGTGTCTCTTCAAAGACACAATATAAAACACTTTAGGGACTGGCATATTGGCAGCATTTCACAAAAGACAGCTTTTCACAGGACTTCTTAGTGAATAGTGAGAAACTCATAGAATTAGGGAGTACATTGGTGATTACCAGGGACGGGGGGCAGCGGGAAATGGTTTCAGGTGCGTAAAATGAATTATGTTCTAGACATCTGCTTATAACACAGTGCCTGCAGTTAATGTATTGAACACTTAACAATTTGTTGAGATGAAATAAAAAGAATTCTCTTCTATCAATAATAATGAGAATCACTAACACTGATGATGTTTACTGTGGGCCAGGCACTAAATTTATTCAGTTAATCCTTGCAACAACTCTATGAGGTAACATCTATTACTTATTATCCCATTTTCTAGTTGAGGAAGCAAAAACAAAAAAATATTGAATGCTTTGCTCAAGACAGTACATTCAGCAAATCTGAAAGCGGGGATCTAAATGCTCTTTCCTCTCTTTTGTTCTCTCAGCGTGTTCTGTACAAACTTTTTCTTATATTACCTGTAACACTTACTGTCTCTAAGTTGGTTTACATGTCTGTCTCTCTGTACTAGACAGAAATATCTGTGAAAATAGTAGTCATTTAAAGATGTTTTGTATATCCAGAACTTACAGTACAGAGACAGATGCTATGTAAATCTTTGCAATGGAAACTGTTCATTTTTTCTGCACCCCCCTCATCAGAGCACACACATTCTCCATGTAAGTAAAAGTATTCTAGTGTGAGTCTACTTGAATACCTCCCAAGGTTGACACTGAAAATTCTTACATGTAATATAGACAAACCGTAGACTCACATTTAGCACCAGGAATTCCTTTTATGACCCAAAAGGCCCTGGTTTACATAACTTTTCAGGTCCTACAAAGTGGAGTCCAATATTATGGAACCCTGTCTTCCCTTTTCCTTTCTCTGCTCCTAGGACTGAGTGGAAAGGCAGCCTGGTTCCCACTAACTACACACTCAAGAATCAGAACAAGCTTGCTTAAAACTCAATGTGTGAAACTGATGCTCTGTGATCTCTTTCTGAGCTAGTTTCTTAAGTAAGAATGTAAAAAAAAATGAATACTAATACCTTCACAGGGAGGTTGTAGTAATCACATGAGACAATGTGACATGCTGAGCATTATGGCCCCCAGAAAGTGTGTGCTTAATCAATGGGAAACATTATTACTACCGTCACCATCATCGACACCATCATCACTTATCTCCTTGAAATCCTGGGACCTGATCTCTAAGCCATGGATTCTGATCTTGCTAATAGTGTATCCTTTGGTCTAGAAATGCATTCCACCACAAAGCTTTTTGAGTAATGATACCAGACAAATATTTTCACCCCAGATCTTTGGTTATTTGATCATTTCCATCATGCCAAAGCTTCATTATTAAAACTGCTTTATATTTTAACACAAAATATGAGTGTATCTCCTGCTTCACACCTAGTCTCTAGCAAAGCTTTCTCCTTGGGTCATGTGGGTCCCTGCAGAGTTGGAACTTGGCAGTTTTGAGAAATGGACAAGTGAACGTCCCTGCAATCCAGCTGTGATGGACCTGACCTTCATTGGTCTGTGGACCCAGAACCCCGGTGAATTCAGGCTCTTGTGGGGAAGAACCATAGATCAGCCTGGGGGTAGATTCCTCTTCCTCTTCCTCTTCAGCCTCCTCTGGCTGTGGGGGCGGGGTGAGGAGCTCTCTGTTCCCGGAAGGCATCACTGTCGCTATTTCAATCTAAAAAAGAACCAGAATTTCATCAGGCAACCTTCTCAATCACCCTTTGTGGCAGACACAAATTTAAAAATGTATCCATCTTTGCCACAAGAGGTCGCTGGTGTCCTGAAGTTGAACACTGTGTGACGCCTGCTTGCCTGGGAAGGCACATGCGGTTCCTGTTTTGTTTTTAATTTTGTTCCTCAAATCTTAGTAATAGTTTCCAGTGCCTTTTAATTTTGGTCTTATTGATCTTTAAAACACCCGCGTGTGTTTATTTCATAGGTTTAAAAATAACCTTGTTTATTGTTTTCTAAATACACAGTGTTGCAAGAATGCCTTATTGTGAAAGATGCCGAGAGTAAAATCTGAAATTCCCCTTCCTCCTGCAGCCCCAGTTCGACTCCCAATAAGAAACTGATGTGTATTTTCAAGTCCTTTTAGCCTCTGATTTTCTAGATTCAAATATTCTGTTCCTTTACAGGGACTTACCCTTCCTTCAGTTGCATTTTTAGTGAAAAGTATCCTTTATGCTAAACTAAAATATGTAAAGGTGTAAAAACTACATGATTTGATCATGGAATGCCATTTCTCATATACTTTCACTATTATTTGAATAACCAATATTACCAATAATATTGGGATATTAAAATTGACCTTCTTGAGAGCTTTGACAATACAAGGCACTTTTATAAAATTTGAAAACCTAGTCAAAGATGGCTTCTATTTTAAATTTACAAAAAAATATTGAATGCTTTGCTCAAGACAGTACATTCAGCAAATCTGAAAGCGGGGATCTAAATGCTCTTTCCTCTCTTTTGTTCTCTCAGCGTGTTCTGTACAAACTTTTTCTTATATTACCTGTAACACTTACTGTCTCTAAGTTGGTTTACATGTCTGTCTCTCTGTACTAGACAGAAATATCTGTGAAAATAGTAGTCATTTAAAGATGTTTTGTATATCCAGAGCTTACAGTACAGAGACAGATGCTATGTAAATCTTTGCAATGGAAACTGTTCATTTTTTCTGCACCCCCCTCATCAGAGCACACACATTCTCCATGTAAGTAAAAGTATTCTAGTGTGAGTCTACTTGAATACCTCCCAAGGTTGACACTGAAAATTCTTACATGTAATATAGACAAACCGTAGACTCACATTTAGCACCAGGAATTCCTTTTATGACCCAAAAGGCCCTGGTTTACATAACTTTTCAGGTCCTACAAAGTGGAGTCCAATATTATGGAACCCTGTCTTCCCTTTTCCTTTCTCTGCTCCTAGGACTGAGTGGAAAGGCAGCCTGGTTCCCACTAACTACACACTCAAGAATCAGAACAAGCTTGCTTAAAACTCAATGTGTGAAACTGATGCTCTGTGATCTCTTTCTGAGCTAGTTTCTTAAGTAAGAATGTAAAAAAAAATGAATACTAATACCTTCACAGGGAGGTTGTAGTAATCACATGAGACAATGTGACATGCTGAGCATTATGGCCCCCAGAAAGTGTGTGCTTAATCAATGGGAAACATTATTACTACCGTCACCATCATCGACACCATCATCACTTATCTCCTTGAAATCCTGGGACCTGATCTCTAAGCCATGGATTCTGATCTTGCTAATAGTGTATCCTTTGGTCTAGAAATGCATTCCACCACAAAGCTTTTTGAGTAATGATACCAGACAAATATTTTCACCCCAGATCTTTGGTTATTTGATCATTTCCATCATGCCAAAGCTTCATTATTAAAACTGCTTTATATTTTAACACAAAATATGAGTGTATCTCCTGCTTCACACCTAGTCTCTAGCAAAGCTTTCTCCTTGGGTCATGTGGGTCCCTGCAGAGTTGGAACTTGGCAGTTTTGAGAAATGGACAAGTGAACGTCCCTGCAATCCAGCTGTGATGGACCTGACCTTCATTGGTCTGTGGACCCAGAACCCCGGTGAATTCAGGCTCTTGTGGGGAAGAACCATAGATCAGCCTGGGGGTAGATTCCTCTTCCTCTTCCTCTTCAGCCTCCTCTGGCTGTGGGGGCGGGGTGAGGAGCTCTCTGTTCCCGGAAGGCATCACTGTCGCTATTTCAATCTAAAAAAGAAGCAGAATTTCATCAGGCAACCTTCTCAATCACCCTTTGTGGCAGACACAAATTTAAAAATGTATCCATCTTTGCCACAAGAGGTCGCTGGTGTCCTGAAGTTGAACACTGTGTGACGCCTGCTTGCCTGGGAAGGCACATGCGGTTCCTGTTTTGTTTTTAATTAATTTTGTTCCTCAAATCTTAGTAATAGTTTCCAGTGCCTTTTAATTTTGGTCTTATTGATCTTTAAAACACCCGCGTGTGTTTATTTCATAGGTTTAAAAATAACCTTGTTTATTGTTTTCTAAATACACAGTGTTGCAAGAATGCCTTATTGTGAAAGATGCCGAGAGTAAAATCTGAAATTCCCCTTCCTCCTGCAGCCCCAGTTCGACTCCCAATAAGAAACTGATGTGTATTTTCAAGTCCTTTTAGCCTCTGATTTTCTAGATTCAAATATTCTGTTCCTTTACAGGGACTTACCCTTCCTTCAGTTGCATTTTTAGTGAAAAGTATCCTTTATGCTAAACTAAAATATGTAAAGGTGTAAAAACTACATGATTTGATCATGGAATGCCATTTCTCATATACTTTCACTATTATTTGAATAACCAATATTACCAATAATATTGGGATATTAAAATTGACCTTCTTGAGAGCTTTGACAATACAAGGCACTTTTATAAAATTTGAAAACCTAGTCAAAGATGGCTTCTATTTTAAATTGTTCTTGATTTCCTCTTCTTGCATGTTTTATGTGGTGTTTTTGATTCTAAGAACACTGTTTGGCACTTAGAAGAACCCCTTGCTCTCAACTTCCTTCCCTTATCTCAGCGTCTGTTTCTTTGTTTCTGTTATTTAGTTGCTAAGTTGTGTCGGACTCTTTTGCAACCCCATGGACTGTAGCCCACCAAGCTCGTTTGTCCATTGGATTTTCCAGGCAAAACTTGGAGTGGGCTGCCATTTCCTTCTTCAAGGGATCTTCCTGACCCAGAGATTGACCAGGGCCTCCTGCATTGGCAGGCAGGATTCTTTACCACTGAGACACCAGGAAAGCCCCCGTTTCTTTGTATCCATTAGTAAATCCCTACCTCCCTACCCTAACTTCCTGCTGACCTTGAAACTTTGGGTGAGAAATTTGCTCAAGACCATTGGTTGTCAACATGTAGGAACTGGCTCAGAGGTAAAGAATCCACCTGCCAAGCAGGAGACACAGGAGACATGAGTTCCCTCCCTGGGTGGGGAAGATCCCCTGGAGGAGGGCATGGAAACCCACTCCAGTATTCATGCCTGGAAAATCCTGCAGACAGAGGATCCTGGTGGGCTGTAGTCCATGGGGTTGCAAACAGTGAAATACAACTGAGTGACTCTACCCACTCACAGGCTTATGTAGGAAGAATCCTTAGAGGACTAGTTTTTTCATGGCACCCTAGAATTTCCCAAGTTTCCCTTTATCACCTTGATTTTTTTCATCCTTCTTTATCTGTTTTCATTCAACACATACACACACAAGTTACTTTGTAACTTATTTAATGTCAACATGATATACAAGCTATTTCTTTCATGTTTGAAATATGAAATATGTAAAATAAATATATAATTAGACTAGATACTTTGAGTATTTTAGATAGTTGTTTCAGATTATTTTAAAATTTTATGATAGACTTATGATTTAATGTCACTTTTATACACTTGAATACATTGCTTCACAAATGAAAATTACCCCTTTAAAGGAAACAAAACTATTTTTTGGTCAATTTATTTTTTTTGATTTTGTCTCCTTCTGTGCATCTGTAGTTTCTCCATTTCAGCCCTTCCTGCATTGTATGGTATTGATTCCATCGGTTTTCTGCCAACCCAAGACTACTCTATGGTACACTTTGAGTTAGGTCTTCTATCTTTGCACCCCAAGGCTGTAGCATAGTAGGTGATCAACAAGTGCTTATTGATTATAATAAAAAAAAATTTGCTTGTCCAAAATATATCTAATTCACAGCACCATGCTTAGTTTTAGACATTTTGCTAAGAAAAATCAACGAAGGAATTAAAGCTTACTTTACTGCATTTAAAGCATGAAAGCAAACCTAAAGCAAATTACAGTATATTGGGTGCATTAGGAAGCCATACATGATATTATAAAACATGTCCAGAAATCTCTGCTTGAGAAGATTGGGCACACTTCCTTAAACTGAGAAACATACGGTTTCCATCTGCAGGGTCAGAAGGAGGCAGTTTCAGAAGGAATGGATTTGCAGAGAGACCAAAAGGAGGTTCTGGGAAGAACGGAAATTGAGACAGATGTTTCATGGAATGGAGGCAGCCTAAAGGGAGAAACACATTCCAGACACGTTGCCTTGAATCTTTAGCTTTGTAGAAAAATGTTTGTGCATACTTTTTTTTACAGATAATTGTTTTTCCACTGATTTGACGTGAAGCTGTAAGATCTCAGTTGTCATTCAATATAATGAGGCAAAACAGCTTTTGTGTTTATCAAAAACTGTTTTGTTCATGTTTCCTTGCTAATAAAATGTGAATGTTGAGCAGCTTTTAAGACCGAGGAAAAGGAATGCATTTTCAGTTCAGCAAAGTTACAGAACTATAACCTCAAAGTACTGTGCCCGGAGAGCCTTTTGCACTGCAGATGCATTTATTCTCACCATTGGATAGAAGTGATTTAGGGTTCTGTCTTCTTTTCCTCTTTAACAATTTTCATACCGTGATATGAAGTGGTTGAGGCAATGCATGCAGAAACATGAGACCAGGGAAACGTAACCACCTGGCTCTCAGAGTAACAGACTTTTATGCTTAATGCTGCAGAATCCTAAACTTGGGAAGAAACATAAATGGCCAGAAAATACCCCTGCCCCTTTCTCAAATGCACACATAACTGAACCTCTGATATATATATTTATTCTTTTGGAGTTTTCTTTTTCATTTCACCT